TAGAAGATGAACAGAATTAGCAATTGTAAGATTTTAACACAGCAATGTTATAGATAGCAAGTTATACTTTGTGGTATTTTAAAAAGAAATACAGTATGCTGGCAATGTAATACTTATAAAGCAAAAGATATTTCTCCTTTTTGTGTGGTTTGCATTACTTTTGATAATGAGAACTACATGATAAGCATTACTAGATATGCCTCCATCTTTGAAATGCTATATGAAATCAAACTAGTCCAGACAGCCTGATAAAACACACATTTAAAAATCCCTGCATGTATGGCGGCATTGAGGTCAAAATATGGGTCATCATCTTGATCAGTAATTCAAGACAGAGGTTTTCAAACCTCAAAAGGTGTGTCGTCCCATCCCCAAGGTGATGCCCCATTATTCCTTTCACAACACCGATCCAGATCATCTTCCTGTCAAAAGTCGCGACTGAGGTGAGAGCTTTGGCGGGGATCCTCGTTCGGAGGAAATTCATAGTGACAGCGCCTCCGCGGCCTTGGTTACCTGGCCCCAATGTCTGATGCATGGGGTTCTGACTTGGATGGTGTGGTGACGGGCTCCCTCACTTGGCAGATCTTTAACGGGATGTGAGGATCTACTTAGAAGGGTTGGCAATAGAGAGAATTGATTGGGGAGAATACTGTTTGTATTGATAAAGAAATAAATAAAATGATAATCACACATATTATTCTATGTCAAAAGAAAGAAAAACTACATAAGTTTTAAATGATACAGAGTTTAATTCAGCAAAAGCCAACACTAACTTTGGTAAAATGCCCTTTGTTCTGTGATCAGGAGTATCGTCTGTCAGGAGCAAATGAATATCAAGTCATAATTTAGCACAGGCATCCATCTGGCTCTCTATAAAGTGTCTGCTCTCTATAAAGTGTCTGCAATACAAATGTATGTATTCATTTGAATGTATGTTCAAAACAATTATCTGTAATACATGACTAAATCGCATTTTCATATATGGAAAAATTGTTTGCACAAGTCCGCACTCGATGAAAATATTGCTGTGTGGAAAAAAAAGGAACTGGACCCAAAAGTTATTGTGAGATTCATTTGTGACACTGCAGATTTGAAGAAGAACAAAATCGTTACCTGACTTTACTGTAACTGTAGTTAATTTAGAAAAATCCTAAAAGGTGCTGAAAGGTTCACTCAAACCTTGCCCTTTTCTAAAAAGGTATCCTTATTAGAAGGCGACAATTCCAAATTCCTCTATCTATAAAAGAAACTGGACAAGATTTATGAGTGAGTATTTATTTAGGATGGACAACTGAGATTCTTTGGAAGTCTTTCTAACGGACAGCGGAAAAGGAGTGGGAAATTGGGTGAATGCTTAAGCCCAAAGTGTCACTTCTCTCTTCCCCTATTAGCGAGAAGAGCATTGCCTGGCTGGCTTGGGTAGGTCAGTTCATCTGTATAAGAAGGACACTAGTATTGACATGAGGAAAAGACAAGTTGCTTTTCTGGGCCTTCATGACTTGCCAGTTCATGATGATGCTAGCAATAGATACCAAATTATATAAACAGGATTATTAGATTTTGAAGGGAAAAGAGGTTATCTAACATTTGGCATATTAGCACAGTTTTCTCGCAAGTGTTGATGGCATATTGGGATGGAGAAGTTCTCCTGTTCTAGATGGTGTAGGCTCTAGTGAATACTCCTCTTGATCATCTGATTCATCTTATTCAATTTAATTTTCAAGGAAAAGTAAATTAAAGTAGAATGACTGGCTAAAAATTATCATTTTCATGTTTTTTTAATAAAAAAAACAAGAAACTGTATGACAAGTAACAACAAACTGCTTATATTTTTGATAAAAATCTGATTCAATAACTGTGTTGTTTTTCAAAGAGAAAATATCTACAATTATACATCCCAATGCATTGTTAACTAATTTTCCTTAATATTTCCCAATCATTCTACTTTTAATCAAAGTTTATAATGGCTGGGTTGTTTCTTGTTGATACAGTAAAAGTATTAACAGCTTTATGAGTAAACAAATTGTCTGAGTTACCTACCAATGGGATCACTTGAAATTCAAGTTTTGGTTCCTCACCCCAAGATTGATTATTTTGTATTAACGGACAAACTGCACACTCCTCCAAACTTTCAATGATGTGGGTCCATTAGTCATATTTCTAAATAAAGCAAGGCAGGTTTTAAGTTGATAGCTATCTGGGAATGTCCATTCTCTATATGTTATTTAAACTTCAGGTGAATTGAAACAATTGTTTATGGGTAACTATGCGCAGGTGCTGAAGTAAGGGGAAATTGAATACAGGATTTTTGCTGTTTCAGGTATTCACAATTATCTTTCTCTCTGACCCATGAGATGCTCTTTTTATGGAATAAATATTTGTTCTTCTCAGAGTCTGGCACAAATTTTTGAGGTGTGTTAGGAAATTTGATCAATTTCTTTTTTTCAAGGAAAATACCCCACCTTTAATTTTAGCATACTGGGTGACCCAGATTTCAAGAGAAATAAAGTTTCAACATCATATCTTATCCATCTTGTCTCCATGCATATCTCCATACATATCTCCATACATATGATGTCATCAGTATTGTTAGAATAAATATTTTTTATCTTGCATTTTATTGTTAAATTCTTTGAATATGAAGGGGGAAAAAAGAGTGTAAAATGGTAATTCACACAAGAGAAAATATGACCATCCCAGAATTTTCTTTTTCTAAAATTCTAAGTTTGGGAAATATTACAAAAAAACTGAAGTAATAAGAAATTAAGATTTGCCCTCTTTTTCTAAAATTCTACGTTTAGGAGATATTACAAAAAACTAATTTACTAATTCGTAAAAACTTGCCCTCTAGAAGCTTCATCATATTGAGAAATTTGAGGTTTATGATATGGTTTCACAATTTTATCAAAGCCAATAAAAAATGAAACATTTACAAGGAAAGGCCTTTGTTTCGATATATATGTGTCAGAAACTGTTTTCCCATGAATTTATGAATTTATCTATGGTTGTGAATTGCTTGTTTGGAATACTGCTGCACAACAATGCATATGTTATCAGTTACATGTGTAGCAGAGTTAAGCTTTCCTACTTTTAGCCAATCGCATTGAAGCCTACTAATGCTAGCATTGTCTTCACTTGCAACCTCTCGGTACCGATGAGGCCTGGAAAAGTTGTTATCTGATCATATTGAGAAAATAAATATTGAACTCCTGTGTAACCATTTCTAAGAACCCTTCTGACTTTAATTCCCCAACAAATAATCTGTGGATTTCCCCTGATTTCCTTTTACACACTTGAGTGCTATGCTGCCTATCTTTGTGTTATTGTTTTTGACAGATCCTTTACAAGAGAATGTTTAGTTCAAGTGGTTTAGTTTAGTTCAAGGGACTCTTTGAACTGTAGACAGAGGAAAGAGACAAGGGAAATTATATAGCCAGGGAGCTTTCTGAAACCTTTTTCCTCACTCTCTTCTTTTTTATCTTTTTTTATTAGTGACATGGTCCTTAATTTTCAGATTGTGATGATCCACCTCGCCCCTCTTCAAAACACATACACAACTGTGAGCCACCTGCTAAAACAATTAAGCACCATGGTGTAGTGGTTCTTTCACTTGACTCTCAATTAAGAGATTGAGGGTTCAGTCCCTGCATGGCGTGTATGTCCTGAGGCAAGGCATTACATCTCATATTTCTCATTGTATCTCTCAACCCACGTATTACAGGGAACCGGACAGGATATTTATTCCTTGAAATGCACTGTGTTTACTAATTATGGCTCTGGGGGTAAAGAGATATTAAATCATATTTTGATATGCATTATGAAATAAAGGGAAACATTGTTAGAATTATTTATGTTTAAGCCAGAGCAGCTTCAATTTACAAAGTATTGCAAAACAATGATGCAAGCGATTAAATGATTAAATAACTGGATGGCTTCATGATAACAAAAGTGTAACAGTGACCTGTCTCTTTACATCTGGTCAGCTTAAGAAAGGATAAGAGCATTGAAATATATATACAAGTGAGTGTGAGCCTTCCTTCATATTTTGTTTTATATGATGTATACATCTATTACACTTTATATCAAAGGTCACTGTTACATTGGACTGCTGCCTGAACTTCCATCGTGTTTGTAGATGGATTTTGAAGTGTGTCGTTGTTTATCTAATCTGACTTTTATGGTCATTGATTGGGGAAATGGAGGTCTAGTCAGGGATTTACAATTGTTTGTTCCTGCAGTTATATGAAGTTTTACGAGTCATAATTGATTAGCTGTGGACAGCTTGACCGAGAACATTGTTTTGTTGATGAAAGTGCGTTTGTTGCAACGTCCTTTTGCTACCTTCAGAGGAAGGCGATGTAGAAGTAAACATACTGTGACCAAAAGATGTATCTCAGGTCTATCTGCAGTAACAGAAAGAATAATATAGCAATATTAGATAATTAAAGCTCCAATTAAGGCTTTGTTTTACCCCAAGATTTTCAACAAACATCTTTGTCATATAGTGCTACATATTTGTTTCAAGACTATAGTCATGCTCAGTTACTTGCAGAGAGCCAGTTTTTTTCAGTTTGTTCCTTTGGTCATTAAGTTTAAAACAAAAAGACATGATTGGTTTTTCATAATGAGTTTCATCATCTTTATACCAATGGACTTATTCTCCTCCTTAGCTGTTGTTCATTTTGGCTGTCTATCATACTCTCCTATTTTCTATTTCAGTGATTACATTTTGTAACTTCAGGATGTTTTGTCAATGATGTTGTTTCACCTTTGAACCTGTATATTATTTTTGTTCACACAGATTCTTTTATGGCTCACTCGCCACAAGCCCTGTGTGTTTTCCTTAGCTGCCCCACATCAAAAATAATGCAAGCAATTATTGTTAAGGTGTGCATTTAAAAGATTAATTTGACTTTTTTTTCCCTCCCAAATCTGTGCTTGGTGCAATCCTTTTTGCTCAATATCCATTTTTGTTGTTTCTATTTTTCTTCTGATCACAGGAGTTGGAGGTAAGTTCTTCAAGTGGTCCAAGGGAGCCCAGATCCGAGGGAACCTGGATCTCCTGGAGATGTGGATCTATGAGAAGGACCTGAAGCTCCAGGCCAGCTTCCTCCAGAAGGTCTCCATGGCGACGGATCTCCTGGCCACGCCCAAACTCCAGCTCGCTCAGGTGAGATTAGTCATTCACCCTGTACAATGCAAGGCTAGGGAATAGCCAAGAGTGATATATGTCAACGGATCATTGCACTTCTAGATGCACAGGACACAAGCTCCCACCTCATTGTTGCTTAAAGATAAACTTGAGTTCTGGTAAAAAAAGAAAATGAATTCTCACAGAATCTAACGAAACTTATACTGAATGTTCAATATTACAAATAAATGTCATGTGCCAAACAATTTTGGAAGAAAATGTATACTGGCTGAGTAATGAGCATAGAAAGATAAGGAAATCAGGGTAGTACTAGCCCCGACACCATGTGTGCTGTCCCATATACATCTTTCTGTGTAAGTAATTGTTACTTTACCAAGACTCTGCCAAATTTATGATGATTTTGATGACCCCAGAACCTTGCATTACACACCATTACTTACATGCTATATGATCAACTTTTCTGATCCATTCCACACCTTTTCTTTCACAATGCAATCGCATTACCAGAACTCAAGTTTATCTTTTATATAGATTATCTCATAATGAGCAATATTGTTTGTTGAAATATTAGGATTTGTGGATGTTGATGATCTAGCATATCAACTAAAACTGAATCAAATGCCTGTTCCTCTGTTAGTTTTATCATAAATTTTCCTTCAGTCTGTGACACCTACAGTAGGAAGTGATAGAATGTAAGACCATACCACTTCTAATTAAACTGAGGCACACCTACACTTAGTACTGTTTACAAAGATGGAGGTGTATTTTGTCAGTAGTTGGGATATCATTCTTGCTCCTAGGAGGTCCCTAGTTGAAAACTGAGTCAGAGTACAAGGGCAGTAATCTTAATTACCTTTGTGGAGTTTGCTTTCATGGAATCCCAGGTAAGGTGATGATGCCTGGTAGTAGGTCCATGCTTAAAGTGTGCAATAGCAGGACATTGCCCGCATTGATGCTAGCAAGGAGTTATCAAATATCTTGATGGTAGATTGCCAGAAAAATGACATTGCTCTTTAGGAACTTAAGAAGAAGATACAACGTGAAGATGTCGATATGTACAAGCAAATTGATTCCATTTCACTCGTTTTCCTTGGAGAGGGATGTTTTATGATTTCCTTTAGTGGCTTGAGCCCTCGTTGTCTCTGACTTTGAGAGTCATGCATGCATGTCATGCATCAACTTTCAGTTTCGTACAGGAAACAGAGAGATAGCCTGAAACGCTGAGGGAGAGGAAGAGAGAAAGAGAAAGAGAGAGAAAGAGAATGATAGAGAGAGCAGTACTTGGCATAGCTTAATAGATAAAATGAAAACTAAAAAGGTCATTAATTTAAGGGGGCATATAGGAGTTTTCCCCCTTTTTTCACAACTTGATCGGGGGCACGTATCCCCCTATGCAACTACCCCACTGAGGAAGTGACTGATTGAGAGAGAGAGTGTGAGAGAGGGTGTGTGATAGTGTGTGAGAGAGAGAGAGTTGAGAGAGCAAGAGAGAGAGAGAGGGGACAGTTATACCTCCAACAAATGTTTTATTGTTGTAGATTGTGACAGATCACGTTTTATGCGTCATGATGTTAAATGACTTTGTGTGATGGCCATATATTAGTGAAAGTAAAACAATGATTTTGCAATCGTAGACTAGATTCTTGAAATGTTTGCAAGTGGGACATATTAACAGAAACACTAAAAGAAATTCACAGTGAACGGTTTTGAATTGAATTTTGAATTTTGAATCATCAAATAATATGAGACTATGAACTTCAGAGTTGCATCATCCACTTTTGGAATCGAAATGGAATGAAGTGGCCAATGTACTTTATACTAAAGTTATCTCTATTTATATCTTTAGGTTTCTATTTATGAATTGTATCCATATAAGATGAAATAGTTTATGTATTGTAAAGCCAAAAACAGGGTAGCTTTGCATTAACCTTTCTATTGCCCCCATTCTTTTCTTTTATTCAAATTTGGATCTATATATTCTTCTGTCTCTGTTCCTGTCTATTATGCCATCTTTGTCTAGATATATATTGCACATCTTTTGTGTGATACTTTCCTGTTCCCTTTACATAATCCCATGTTAGGCTAGCAGACAAGATATAGATATAAAGGTATCCTTGAAAAAGATTTAACATATCACAACCTCTCTTTATCTATCTTCCCATTGAGATTATGTGTTCTTTGTCCAGTTCCCATGTACAAAAGGAAATGTATAAAGACTGTTATTTGATATAACATGACCTATTTGATATTCTTTCAGTTTCTATACTTGATTTGAAATGGGAAATCCCCACTTCCATTTCTGGCATTTGAATAAGAATTGGATTACTGTCCAGTATTTTCCACTTAGATCTGCCATTGGCTCAGAAAATCTATTAGTCATGAATATGCATTATTGTAGTACATGTATCAATGTGATTTTCAGCTTGACCCAATATTTCTTATTGGCTTATGAGTGCCCTATTCATGCATATGCATTAGTTTAGTGTGCAATGTAATTTTTCGGCGTGGCCTGCAACTTATTATCATGAGTGATTATTTTATGAGTATCCTACTCATGAATATGCATTAGTCTAATATTAACATGAGTTTCCAACTTGACCCATGCACATCTCTCATTGGCTGTGGAGTTTGTTAGTAATGAATATGTATTAGTCTAGTATTAATATGAGTTTCCAACTTGACCTGCATCTCCCATTGGCTATGGAGTTTGCTAGTCATGAATATGCATTAGGGCAGTGTTTATGTAAAGTTTACAACATGTCCCACATCCCTCATTGGCTGTTGTGTATGGTAGTCATGAGTGTGCATTAGTCTAGGATAAAATAAGTAAAGGAAACAAAGTCAGTCACTGATAATGATGCTCTTTCACATTCTTTTATTTCCCATTTAGGCAGAATGGAGCTCCGTCCGGCGGGACTTTCCGGTGCTGAACGCAGCCCAGATCCATCAGATGCTGAGCGAGTATGACATCGGAGGCTCCCAGGCAACCAGGCCCAGGGCTTGGTTCCCCCCACCCAAGGAAGTGGAGGCTGCATTGAAAACAGGTGCGCAGGAAACCCCCACACTTCCCATCCTTAATCTCCCGCTCATCATCACTTTGGGTCAAATAGTTGGGGAAGACAGGTTCTGGTGCAGGGGCAATGTCACCCCCCTGCCCCCCCCCCCAATGCTTCTTTTGTTAATTCAATGCCCATCATCACTTTGGGTCAAAAAGTTGGCAAAGGGAGGAAGAAACGGGGTATCCCCCTAATCTTGCAAGCTTTTTAACCCTTTTCCCGATACTTCCATTTCTTAATCTCATGCTAATCATCACTTTAGTTCAAATAGTTGGCAAAGATAGGACGGTTGTCGAAGGGGGGGGGGGGGTCTCCATTTTTTCAAAGTGTTCCCAAATATTTCCCATTCTTAATGCCCTGCTCATCACCACCCAAGGTCATAGTTGGCAGATGAAAGGGGAGGACTTGTTCCAAGTTCTGTGAAAATTCTTCCAATCCTTAATCCTTTGCTCATCATCACTTTGGGTCAAATAGTTGGCAAAGACGGGATCATCTTGGAAGACAAAATAAGGAGGGGGTGTTACCTCACCCCACCACCATTCTACCCATCCATCCCTAATCATTGAAAGTCATGGCCTTGTTCATGTACATGCGGTTATAGCTGACTGGTAAAGGGTAGAGATAACTATAAGACATGCACGAATGGAAATAGGAAATGGTTACTATTCCATTCTACCACATTTTCCCAGTCTCTATATACCACAATCCTGAATATGAAAAGCAGATATAAGTATATCCATTCATGGAGACTGCAATGTGGAAGGAAAGCTTGGCAATACTAGTCTACTGAATATGACACTAAATGTTTGACCTCTGTTTAGCTCTATTGGTGAGATGCCCCTCAAACTCTAGCTGGAATAAGACCATCACTTCCACCCCTCTCCAGTCTTCAAAACTTTGTAAAGAACCACCCCCTCCCCCCTTTCTCCATACCCTGCTACCATATGTCAGAAGAGTGATGGTCATTTTTTAGGGTAGGTCATGATTTGGTTGACCACCCTTCCCTCCCTCCCTCCCTCCCTCCCTCTCTCTCTCTCTCTCTCTTTTTCTCTCCCCTCCCCCTCCCCCCACCCCCACTTCTCATACTCTGTATCATGTGCAGTGGGACCTAAAAGAGGTGATTGGATTGGAAAGGTAGGGTCTGCAATGCTAAAAGATCCCAAATTAATAATCAGCAATGACCAGATCAAGTTATGACTAAAAGGGAAAATTGGATGATGATGGTGATAATTGAAACTGAATCTCATTGTGAGAGGTGTTAGGAGAGTAGGGGTCATAATGATGTCTTTGAAGAGAGCCAAATGACACAAGTTATTCAATTATTCAGCCACCAATATGTATGATGATAGATGACTTCATATATTCAGCCAATGATGCTTGATATGGGATAAAAACGATACTTCAGATATAACTCTAAGTATGAGAGTATTGTAAGACTTCATTAATTATCCTGAGTATTGAGATGAGAAAAGGCTCAACTGCAGATTAATGTGCAAAAACGGATTAACTTTTGTATTCGAAGTCATTTATTCTACTTCTCTTTCGACATTTTTTTACCAAGTACATGTAGTTCAAAAGATGCCACAAACAATTCCTTATTTCATACTGGTACTGTGAATACCGGTAAAAGTTTATAGGAGAGGATCAAGTCTTGATTTCAAAATATCTTCCTTCTCCGAATAAAGAAGGTCACGCTGTCATGTTGGGTTGCATTGTCTCATTCGAAAGCTATGATACTAGATGTAACACGGAAAGCCAACAAACCGATGGTGGAACGATAATCTAATTTGAATTTTGACATATAGTTGTCCTTATAATATCAAGTGTACGAGGCATCTCTTTTCTTATAATTCCTCTGTCTGAGATGATTATCTGCTGGTTATGTTGTATCGCCCTCTAGTGGGCATGAGATGACCGGACTGATAAAGTCTGAATGCTGTCAGTGAGCAGAGGGACAATACAATGGCACATGGCGAGAAAAAAAACCCCAACAAAATGAAGGCATTCCCCCTCTCAGTACTTCCATCTAATTTCTGATAATTTGCTTTGGCAAAATAGAACATTCTGTCTATTCATTAATTCTTTGCAAGTTTTGGATATGTCCTGTCAGGATTCCCATGTGTCTTTGATCCATCCATCCTATTGACATATTTATAGCTTCCCTCCAGGGACAGATTCATGTACTTGTTCTTATTTCAGTATTTTCCTCTCCTCCCACTGTCATCTGCACTTTTGCATCTCTCATTGTGTCCTGTGCAGTGCCTTTCGCTACATTTATGCATTATGCATTTGCTGTAGTTTAAATCATCCATCAAGCCATATTTTAGGTTCTGTATTTTGTAGATTTCCTTCCTTTCCCATGACATAATTGTTTTCATTTTATATACATTACAAGGTACCTGTATATAAATGTATCTTCTTTGCATCTCCATTTACTCTCTGTCACTCAATGTTGATCTGTTTAATTGCCTGATTTACTTCGTTATCCATCTTTTCAACTTTCTATTCACTCTTCTCCTCTTTTTGGTCTTCAAAATACCTGTGTGTATATTTTTGCTACACTATTCTCCATCTTGCTCACTATTATGCTTACTTCTTCCATCTTAAAAAATCCTTTCTCCTTCTCCCTCAGTTATTCCCCATTTCACTCTTCCCATGTTTATTCTCCATATTTCATTTTTTTTTTCTTCCATACTTTCTTAAAGGCCCACTGCACTACTTGTAGCTACTTGCGCCCTCTATATAACAAACAATGCCTAATCGGTGACCATTGGTCCCCCATGATCCTCTTTTTCTTATGTTAACTGAGAGCTGAGTTGATGAGATAACCACCTGTCCAGTGACCTTGCAGGCCGGTGTAATCCCTCTTGTAAACTATGGCAGATAAGCTTTAAACTTTCCGCTCTTTCTTTCCTTCACCATCTCCCTTTTCTCTCTCTCTCTCTCTCTCTCTCTCTCTCTCTCTCTCTCTCTCTCTCTCTCTCTCTCTCTATCTCCCTCTCTCTCTCTCTCTCTTTATTTCTCTATCTCCTTCCCTTTCCTCCCTCTCTCTCTCTCTCCTTCTCTCATCATTTTTCTTCATGACTTTCCTTTACCCCTCTGTATGTATGTTCACATCCAAACCAACTGCTTCATGATCAGAAGCTCCCACCCCTACCTGAACTATATTCTCATATCAGTACTCTTTCCTTCTGTTTTTAATTCAATTTAATCTTGGTAATCCCATCTTCCTATCATGTCATAACTAATCGATCAAAGTTAGATGCCGTCCATCTTCTGTGCATCAACTGATTGTAGGGGTATTAAAAGCAGAGAGCTTCATGTAGATCCTAAAATTGAAATTCATGATCAGTTGGATTATTTCCTGTATTCTTCATAAGATAACAAACCATGACCTAAAGTTGTGCGTTGCAAATTGATTTTGTCCAGTGTTTTGTACTCTATACATACCTTGGTGTTGGTTCCTTTCATTTCTGTTTTGTGTTGTGGGTTTGTTTGTTGTCTGTTCCTTCATTCTCTTTTCATATTTTAGAAATCCGAAGTCTTAATTTTTGTTTTGTCTTTGTCTTTTGTTAAAAATATTTTAAAAAATTATAGTTCTTACTATTTTATTCATATAATTTCACAAAATATTCCTGTTCTTTGTTTGAAGTCTTCTTTGTCTTCAATTTGTTTTGTGGTTTGTAATTCTTTTCATCCTCTTTATCTCTTTGATCTCTTTGGTTCAAAGTGAGCCTGTAGTGGTCTGTGATATTAATCTATTCCTGCTGTTCTTGTTTCCGAGACATAATAACTTTTGCGTCATTTGTGGTACTCTTTGAAATGAAAGTTCTGAAAATAATTAGTCAGTGATACAAAAAGTTGCATTATGTGGTGGAGGAAACCAAAAGAAAAAGTGACATGTGATAGTCTTCCATTAATTGACCAACAATGAAAAGTTCATTGCATTATCATTTAAAGTTTTTGATGGCTTATCTCCAACTTGATCTCATGACATTTACAAGGTTCTCAAATTGGCAATGAGACAGAAGAAGAAATCTGATTTTAGGGAATTAAAGTGAAAGATTCATTCAGTGGTATGAAGAACATACCGGTACAACAATTGTTTTTATTCTGTGTAAAGCGAAAGAGCAAAGTTCATCAATTTTTCTTCTCCTAATTCATGACCACAGTCGGTCAGCTGATTATTCTGGCACTTCTGAAACTATTTGTTACTCTCCAATACATTTTCTTCTTTTTTTCCTTCCAAATGAAAGAAAATGTTAATAATTGAATAGATTTGGGGAATGAGCTTATCCTTTTTGGGTCCAAGAGTTTCTCTAGTTTCATTATATCATCTACAAAGAGCCAGAGTCATTATTTTAAACAGAGTTAATACTGTGCGTCCTCTCAACAGACAATAGAATTATTCCCCCATTGGCTATCATATTTGCGTCTTTATATTGATTATTTTGAATTGAAACACTAGATAATTCATTAATATTGTACAATCATTGTAATTTTTTCAGAAGAGATCCTGGTGAGTTTTGATGACCATCCACCGCTGGTTCTCCCGACGGATGCCTTCCAGCTCGACCTGAGGTGCGACGTCTGCGAGCTGTTACCAGGTTTCAAAGACATACTACAGGCTCTTCATAAAGATTTCCCGAAGATCAGAATCAAGACTGGTAAATATCATGTCTTCTTACGGTTGTTAATTAGATAAAGTGAATATAAATAACATAGTTAGTATGAAGACTGGTAGATATCTTAGAAAGAACTTTTCAAAGATCATAATCAAGACTGTTAAATATCATGTCTCCTAACCGTATGTTGATTAGGTTAATGGATGATTAAATTCAGAGATAGGTTCATATATAGGTAGGTGCATATTTTGGATGAGGGTACAAAATCTGATAAATATCGGGTCTTGTATGTTGATAAAGATGATTAAATATAAACACCAAAGACAGGTTGAAGATTGGACCATATTTTGGATAGGGGTTTGAAAGACTTTCTTTAAGATCAGGAACAAGACTGGTAAATACATGTATCACTTCTCCATAGTTGTCACTTAGTTTAATTAGATAGGAAACAGATCTATGGGATGAGTAAATGTTTTAAGCAATGGAGCTTTCCTAAAATTAGAATCGAATCTGTAAATGTTACTTAAAGTAATTGATTGTAGAAACCATAAGTAGGATGACAAGGGCACTAATGAGAAATACCAGTTTCCACTGTAAATTTAATTGACTTGAAGAGATGATAACTTTATCATTTAGATACCGGTAGGTCAACATGCTAAAGGTGATACAAAGTTTTGGGAAATTTTGAAAATTGGCTGGAAGTGATTCTTTACAATTTTGATATATTTGGATGCCCCTGTGGAAGTATTATAATCACAAGAAAATTCAGCCCCTAAAACACTTTGGCTTTCGAGAAATATTAAATATAAAAATTTACCGGTGCTCCCGGTAAATTTTGATAAATTTCAAATAGCGCCTACGGCCGTATGATGGTAGCTGCGACCATGAAAATCTCAGAATATGTAGTTGTGATATATAATTTTCAAATGGAAATAGCTAATCGGTTGATTTTAGTCGTGAAACATTGTTTTATAGCTTAATTAATATATTGACCTTCAGAGGGAGCTATACAACATGAAGAGTGTATTATTTACAATTTCATAATTAAGACTCGATTTCAACCATGACAACTGAATATTGTAGGATCGCATATGCTTCCAATATGTTCATTTGAACCAAATTCATGACCCCATACCAAAACTTTGTATTGCCTTTAAGTTTCATTTAATGAAACAAAATGAGATCCATTTACATGTACATTCCTGTGTTTGTTTAATGCATTCATTTGTCAATTTTCCCTCTTTTTTCACTTCTTTTGTACTGGTAAAAAGCTCAATAGTTTTTAATCTAATGTGCTCTTTCCTCAGATCATGGAGATATCAACTTGCCAGTGTTTGATGAGGAGTCGTCCATCGAGGAGACAACAGGTCCCGAGGAAGACCTCCCGTTCAGGGACAAACGGAAGAAAGCAGTCACACCCAAGGCCAGATCTCGATGCTCCTCCTGGCCTCCCAATGAGAAAGATGCAGGGGCCATTCTGGATGACAACGTGGAGGTAGAGAAGAGAGTAAGGGTCGCGAATGAAAAGGAGGCAGAAGTGATCGATCCGAGATGCCAGAAACTGATGCAGGAACTGGAACTGAACGGAGAAGTCAACAACAACGTAAGGAATGTCAGGGCAAGGTCGAATGTCCGGAGGCAGACATCTCTTTCAGCGTTGCCAGACCCCAAGCCAAAGAAGCCACATCCCACTCTTACCAAGAGCTACAGCTGCCCATCAACAGCAAATGCAGCGTTAAGGGTACTCAATGGTAAGGTAGAAACTGATGCCAGTGGTTCCAGAACTCTTTCATGCAATGGAGCCAGTGAGAATGGACATGGTGGTAAAGTGGTGCATGTTGACCGCAATGGGATCAAGACTTCACCTGTGAACCATGTTGTTAAGCCGATCCTGAAGAATAAGAAACCCAAACCCCATCGGATGGACATTGAGAACGGGATCTCCCACATCACCCAGGATGTCATTTTAGAGGAGGATGGTGAGACTTGCCTACCACCACCTCCTCCGGTATCACCCAAACCCACGTTCATTCCTCCATCACCAAGAACCCCACGATCCCCCATTGCTATGCCAACACGAGCTCCGTCACCTCTCCCATCACCACCGATGTCACCCATGGATTCGAAGAAGCCTTCGACACCACCTCCACCTCCTCCTAAGCCAAAGACAAGACCATCGTTGAATGGTTTTCAACTCCCTCGCACTCCATCTCCCCCTACCACCAATGGAGATCTCAACGGAGACCTCAAACTCAACGTCATTGCTCCTCCTCTGGGATTCGACTCGTCTCCGGAAGAGAGGCGGAGGAGGGAGGACGAGAGGAGGCAACAGGCAGACAGGATCAAGCAGGAGGTCTTGAGGCTGGAGGGTAAAGATGCCGGGAGGACCATGCAAAATGGAGACAGAGGAAGAGTCGAGAACGGGAGTGTGAAAGAGCAGAAGATGAAAGTGGAGGGGGTGTTAGGAGCGGAAAAGGGGGAACCTCTGAGCAGCAATATGAGCAACAACAATGTAGATCTGGACGGAGAGGGCTTAGAGGAGCTCCTTAAAGGAATAGACTGCCAAGGTAAATGTTCATGATTATTCTAATCCTTATATTTTACTATACTTGATTTTAGGAGCATCCAGGATCCAGAGGTTTCTGGTATTCCCATTAAAAAATTCCTCATGACACCTGTAATGTATGTTGTATTCTTATACACATTGTAAAGTGGTGAGAGATGAGAGACTGTTACAGTCAAACCTGCTTTAGTGACTATCTGTTTAAAACGACCACATTTTTTGTTTCCCTTGAAAATGGTTTCTCATTGAATCATGTACTAAAGTTTCCTGTCTACAAATACCATGTGTCTTCAAAGACCACTGTTTGTGTTTCCCTTCGGCAGTCGCTATAGACAGGTTTGACTGTATTATTCTTTCAACTGAATGAACCTAGGAGATAAAAAGAAGATAAAAGACATATGCCTCTCACAATTTCTCCCAAAGAACTTACTTAACTCGAGTCATCTTGATTTCTTTCTACATCACAGACAACAGCGACCTCAGCTTTTGGCAAGATGATCGTCAGGGGTCTGAATCGACCGGCAGCCTCGCGACCCCCGAGAGTTGGACCACCGAGTCTCCCAACAGCGAGTGGTCATCATCATGCTCATCGTTCAGAGAACGGAAGGACTCTATCGATGACGTCTTTGTGGTGGATCTTGAGAAGGGAGAGGCTGGTCTTGGGCTTGGACTAGTGGATGGACAGGTAAGCATTTGTAAACTTTCCCTGGGGGGGGGGGGGGTGTTTCACAACGATCCTAAGTCAAACTCAACTCTAAGTTGGACTTAAAAATTATGGAGAGCCATTTGTAGTCTTAAAATAAAATATATTCAAAAGTGAAAAATCAAGTGTTCTAGACTTTTTAAAAATTCCACATCAAGAACATGAAATCTTGTTGATAATACAAAATATGAATGATTTGAATCAACATTTATGCCTTTTAAAATAGTTTTTACAAAATATTTTCAATGGTGCTAATGGCTTTCCATAAATGTTCAGTCCTACTTAGAGATAAGTTCAACTTAGGATCTTTGTAAAACCCCCCCCCCCCCCCTGGTCTACAATTATGGAGGAAGAAACCGATAATGCTGTCATCAAACTCTTTCTTTTTCTTTTCCTTTTATATTGTCAATCCTGCTTTCCCATAAACCAAACCTCAAATATTATTTTTCTCTTCAAAATGTCATTTATAATCTGATGTGTCATGGGTTTTTTTAAGAGTCTGTTAACAGAAAAAATCAAATGTTAGATAAATCAAGTAATATGTAATGCTCTTGTCTTTGTGATATTGAGGTATCGTATTGGAGTGAAAAGAATAAAATGAAAAATTGCTTTTAATAAAATTGTTATATTGATCTCCTGATAGGCTATGGAAACGCAAGAAGACGGATCACTTCAGATTATTATAATAATTATAATAATATTGCCCTTTTATATAGCGCCCAATACATTGATACAACGATGTGTCTAAGCGCTTTACAGATATATTAGTACCCCGGTCATCGGATTTAGGCTTACCTGGGGAGCATTATAGCATGAATTAGAGAAGTAATGGCAATACCTTGAAACCCTTTTCCACTTTTTACTATTTGCAGCACACGGTCTTGAAGTCCCCTGGAATCTACATCTGTAAGGTACTGCCTGGTGGATCAGCTAATCAGTGTAAGAAACTTAGAGTTGGAGACAGGATCCTAGCAGTCAATGGAACCAGTCTCGTGGGGGCTGACTATGATAGGTGAGTGGTAGCAAGGGGTAGGGGTGATGGTGGTGGTGGTGGTGGTGGGGGTGGGTATCTGTAGTTAGTAGTGGATCAGTAGTTGGAGACAGGGGGACACTATGAAATGTGAGCTTAGAGAGAGTTCACTCCTGTAATAATATCCCGCAGGGTAGAGGGGGTGTATTACTTAGCTGGGGTGTACATGTAATTACTACATAGTTTGTGTGCAGACTGCGTAATGATTCCATTACCTAGTTATAGAGAAATTATAATTAGGATCTACCTATATGACCCTTGCTGTCAACTCCTTTCGAGTCAACAACCCCTTCTCATATGATCTTAAACGAACTTTGTAAAATTGGATTTCAAGAGGAAAAAACTTTGTGTGTCCTGTCTATGTGTGACAAGTATCACTTCCTTGTTTCGTAATCCACATTGTCCCCTCTCAAACTAGGGGTGCCGCTTCACAGAATGGACAAAACAAATCAAAACAAGGGGCTTTGGTCAGTACTACTGAGGTCGTGTACATCACCATGACGATAAGTAGCCCGTCTGACCACCCCTGGCACCTTGTAGACAAATCAAGAACAGCTGGAGCTAGCCCTGAGGCTTGATGTCCTAGTTAGGGTTCACAGACGACACTCTGGCTTGTTCCTCTCTATTATATCATAGACTTGTACATCATCCCTTTGGAGCCAGAAGGGCGTTAACTCCTATCAATTTATGCAGAGCTAACGCCTTTCTGTCTTTGAACGATATACTGATTAACACAGGTGTCTATTGCCCCGGGGTAGTCACTCTTCATGGTCTAGTGGACATCATAACCCATTGAGAAGTTCATAGGTTCAAGTCCATACTAATTACTCATCTCATAATAATAATAATAATAATACTCAGTGTTTATATAGCGCCTACGGTATTAGAATCACCAATGGCTTCCAAACTTAGAGAATATTACCCCGGCTTTAGCTGTGCTGCCATTGCGGCGCTCTAGCATTTCAAAGAATTAATTTTTGCCAAGTACATAGATGATAATGACGCGTCTTCATAGTCAAGTGGACATCACGATGCCTTGAGAAGGTCATAGGTTCAAGTCCATACTAATTACTAATCTCATAGATGATATGATGCCTCTCCATGGTTTCGTGGACAACACTAATCCTTAAGAAGGTCATAGGTTCAAGTCCATACTAATTACTAATCTCATAGATGATATGATGCCTCTCCATGGTTTAGTGGACAACACTAATCCTTAAGAAGGTCATAGGTTCAAGTCCATACTAATTACTAATCTCATAGATGATATGATGCCTCTCCATGGTTTAGTGGACAACACTAATCCTTAAGAAGGTCGTAGGTTCAAGTCCGTACTAATTACTAATCTCATAGATGATATGATGCCTCTCCATGGTTTAGTGGACAACACTAATCCTTAAGAAGGTCGTAGGTTCAAGTCCATACTAATTACTAATCTCATAGATGATATGATGCCTCTCCATGGTTTAGTGGACAACACTAATCCTTAAGAAGGTTGTAGGTTCAAGTACATACTAATTACTAATCTCATAGATGATATGATGCCTCTCCATGGTTTAGTGGACAACACTAATCCTTAAGAAGGTTGTAGGTTCAAGTACATACTAATTACTAATCTCATAGATGATATGATGCCTCTCCATGGTTTAGTGGACAACACTAATCCTTAAGAAGGTCGTAGGTTCAAGTACATACTAATTACTAATCTCATAGATGATATGACACCCTTCATAGTCTAGTGGACATCATGATTCCTTGAGAAGGTCGTAGGTTCAAGTCCGTACTAATTACTAATCTCATAGATGATATGATGCCTCTACATGGTCTAGTGGACATCATGAGCCCTTAAGAAGGTCATAGGTTCAAGTCCATACTAATTACTAATCTCAAAGATGATATGACGCCTCTATGACGCCTGGTTGGCACCATATGCTGTCACTCTCTCTTCCTCTCTCCAGGAAAATGTCTCTGTAACACTTCCCTGTGCTGTCTGTTTCATTTGGGCTGTTTTCATCAGCTCGAGATTGCCAAATGGCCTGCTATTTGTGATTTGGGAAATATTCCTGAAGTTACAAATCGCGTCGTCATCAGCTCGAGACTTGGCCTCAAAACTTGAAACTCAAGCTCGAGATATTAGCTTGAGATATTTTGGTCAGCGTTCGCGCTAGTGCCAGTCTTCGGGCTGGTGAAAACGCACTGGACAAATAGCGGGATATTTTGCAGACGAGCTCAATATATCTTGGGATGATTATCTTAACCAAATGTCCCGCTAATTGCAACTTCGGGCTGATGAAAACGCAAATTATCCAGTTAATTTGCGATCGGGATAGTTCAAATAGCAGGATATTTGGCAATCTCGAGCTGATGAAAACAGGCCTATTGTGATCATTGTCCATATGAAGTATATTGCAAATCTATCCCTCTCTACTCTCATGGGCGGATTATAAGTTATATTTAGCAGTGAGAGTTTACTTATGTATAACACCCTCCTTGGGGGGTCAGTAAGCAGTTCCACCATCCATCGATGTCTCTTTCATCATGTCAAAGCTCATGCTGAAATAGTGAAAACATGAACTATTTTTTAATGCAAGTAAATCTGGTGATAAATAAGCCTCTAACTTTCCAGAGCCCCCAGGAAATTGCACCACAACTGGGTTATAATTCATATGTGACCTAAAGTATATTACTTTTGTTATTTTTAATAATGGTGTTCTAATGACCCAAAAACTTTTCAAATCAAGGCAAAGTAAGTTGTATTTTGAAGAAAAAACTTAAATTTAATCACTTTTTTTTTCTTTCTGTTTTCTCATCAACAGTGCTATGAATCTTATCAAGAATGCCGGCGACAAGCTACGCATTTTGGTCGGGAAGTCAGATAACAACATTGCCATGAAGATCACAGCCTCCAGCTGCTAGAGCGATGGCCAGACCCTGATTGACTGAGGGATCAACCAATGCTTGCTGACAACTAACCCTCAAAAGGCCTGTTTTCATCAGGCCGAAGTAACCTGCTATTTTAACTAGCCCGATCTCAGATTAGCCAGCTAATATGCATCTTCATTCTTCATCAGCCGAAGTTGCAATTAGCGGGCTATTTGGTCGAGAAAATATCCCAAGAAATTTTGGTCTTGTTTCCAAAATAGCCCACTATTTGGGAAATATTTGGGCTGATTTGCGCCTGTCCGCCTAGTTTGTGATGAGCGTATTGGTCTTGTGAAGACACAATTTCGCGCTTCTGGAAATATCCCGAGTATGAGAGTAGCTGGTAACTTTGCAACTTTGGTCTGATGAAAACAGGCCTCAAAGATCACACCAATGACCAGGAAGGACTGCATGAGGGTGACTAAGGGGGTAGAGGGCAGTCTTCCATTTACCATTGGAAGCAAGGTCGAGTTTTGAGTCATGCTGTACTGAGTTGGCCGATATGTATATATCGCTACAAGAGCCAGGAGTACCCACGTATTAACAGTTTGTAAAGAATCAGATACAGTATGAATAAAGATACCAGTCTTAACTTGTGTAGAATTTAAGACAAAGTTAGGCTTTATTCCTTGATTATCAACCAGTACCTAACTCCAGTGTTTAGACTTTTCATACTTTGATAGAGAAAATGTATGGTTTGTGATGTGTTCCCAGTACCTTTATGTCATGTTTCATAGAATGTCATGAAAAGAAGAGAAACATGTAACTGCAATATATTCTAAAGTTTCTTGCTAATTTAGGAACTAAAAGGTGGTACGTTATCCAAGGAATGCAAATTAAAAAGAGATATTTTATCTTTGTCCCCAATCTGAAAGTGTTGGGTCAGAAGCGAATTGCGAGCCTAAAAGTGACTTAATCAATGAAAATGTTGGTTTTATGTTCTCACTGAAATCTTTTTGGTTGAAATCATTTTTTATAAATTGATTTACTCAGTGTTTTCAGATTGAGGAAGAGTTGCAAAAAGCACAGACAAATGAAACACCAGAAGCAGAACAAAATAACCATGTTGTCATGTTCAAAAATTTACAAATACTGCAATATTGACGAAATGCATCTGTAAGTGATTTTCTCTGTGCACCGTTCATATTTGCGGGGGGGGGGGGGGGCAATACTGCAATGATACCACAGTATTGTGGTATTTCCCTGTTCATTCCGCAATAAGACTATTCATTTTGATCGGCATACATGTTAACAAGAAACAACTTACTAACAGAAAAATAATTTCCCCCCTACCATTTTTTTTTCTTTAAAAGGGCGTTATAACATTAGGAGATCTTTCTTGACAACTCATTAGTTCTTTATTTCCTCTATTGGTTTCTATTGGTTTGTTTAATTACAGTTACACTTATATTATTGTGGTTGCATATCAATGTTTACAAGACTTAAAAAAGGTGATAGTTTTGATACGTGCGGAGCATTTCTTGGATATGTCATAAGTACAAATGTATAATTACATTATGCATAAATAGGGCGTTAGTTTCATATCCTGCTGCACAAGCATAATTGATTTATTACCGGGTATTGTGAAGTCCATCTGACATGTTCGTGCATGTGGCTAAGTTAGGCTTAAAGGTATTAATCATCAAATACAATTCCATAAATAAAATGTTTCAAGTACTTTTCTTAAAGCAATTGAACAAGACAACAAGCAATCAAAATATAAACTGGTACACCCCAAAATGAATGCAAGAATTACTGAAAGTTTTAAGCCTACACATGGGTTTGTATACGCATTGGTCAATACATTAAGAAGGTGTATATTTGTATACACGTAAAACAAAAGAATGGCAAGTTATGTTACCACACACTAAGTGGGAAATCATATCAATATGTAGAAGTAAATACAATTTATCTTGCCAAGATTTTTTAGTGAGTTTGAACAAACTTTTTACGTCCACTCAAACACACGATTCAAGTGCTGTGCTGGCAGAATAAGCAGTTATTAGCATTGTTCTTATTGTAAATAATGACTTATTTACAAACTTAACAAAAATGTAAAATACTGCAAATTTTACAACATGTATATGTTTTTCAACATTTTAGAAGAGATTTACAATTCAAATGGAAGAATTTTTTGAGAATTAAGCATGCTGAATGCATGAAGCACCTTTAATCTAGATAGACATTTTATGACAATGTCCATCTCTTGGAAGTGAAACTGCATGAGAAGGTACGGTGTTATATTACCTATTTATTTCTTATTATAATCATTATATGTTAGTTTCAGTGGTTGATATTTTGTATTTGTCTCTCACTTTGCCAAAACATGAAAGAAGGATCTAGGTTGTTTTCAAACTAGGAAGTATATACAACAATGTTTAGAGTTGTTAACAATGACATTGTAATATGTGAAAGTGCAAGTTCATATTTGAAAATGAGGCTTTTAAGCCTGTGATGTATTTACTGTTTGTGCAATTGCTTTTTCATCTTGGAAAGTATCTTATGAATCTTGAGGCCATTAATATTTTAAAAGTTGAATGTGATTGATTGGAAGTGTTAATAATGTTTGTATTTCCTCTAGAATAATAGACATATTTGCCTAAATTTCTAAGGTTTTATTTCTTGAAATGTATCATGCGTAATATGATCCCATCACATTCATAATAATGCTATTTGATGTGTTTGACAATGTACAGTGGTTTCCATTTTAATGAATGAATATGATTGTTTATTGAATGTGTAACCCAGCTCTGTCATAAAAATGTTACCGAGAAGAGTATTGATATTTGTGTTAGCTTGCCATGTAGAATATATATTCAAATGATTATGTAGAATTTTACCATGTATATCTTTCTTCATTGTATATTTTGTAAATGAACCTGTTCATAGTCATATTATAATTATCACAATCATTGATGTGTTTTATTAAATTATATGCATGCAAATGCCCAACATACACTTGACAAGTATAACTGATTGCATGGTTTTAGACAATCGCAAGAGTGCCAATGTCTCATTTTTTGTGTAGTTTTTCTAATACTTTTCTTTGCCTCGATTCTAAAGTTCCTCGCTAGAATCTATACATGTGTGGGGTTTGTCATATTTAAAGGGAAATTTGTGACTATCTTTCTTCTTTTGTGTAATAATGACACAGAGATTAATGGTGTAATTTCATAATAACGGTGGATTGTGTATCTTCGGTGTGTGACTACAACATTAATATCAAGTCTATTTTTCATATACCCTAGCATTAATCAGATTGTGTCATGTCCTACACAGCAAGATCAATAATAATTTCAAGACAGATTTAAGTTCTAGCTTGATACAAGCTTTAAATAAGTGTCGCTATGACATCCCATTTGATATATTGAACATAATGTATTTTTGAAATGCAGTATTTGGTATGCATTGTGTGTCATATGCATGCATATCCGGATTCACAGTGCTTGATTTGAAAGACTTGCAAATAGCATACAGACTTCCTGCCCCCAGTCAGTGTACAAACTGAATATCACTTTCCATACTTAGTTTTACTTACAGAAGTATCCTTTTACAAGCATCTATGGACATATCAAATGCTCATATTATGTGCAAAGTCACTGAAAGAGAATGTGGAAGTTTACTGTGATAAATCGTTTTAAAGGTCAAACAAGATAATACAGTGAATGTGATGTAAAAGAGTTTTATTTTTAACCTAGGGAAACAATTACATGGTGACCTCCAGAAGCCTCCATCCCTTCTAGTGAGTCATTATTTTGGGGCTGCTTAGGGTAATCACACCGCTAACAAGATCCTTAACACTGTCTACCGTGCAACACATGTACATACATAAGAAACCTTGCTAATGGCTGTGAAAATAAACTGCTAAGGTACCCGGAATGTGTACTGGTACATCTAGCATACAGTCACTCAAATTTTCTACCATCAATTTTTAAATCTGCGTTCATTCATTTTTTTAATGAATTTTTTTTCTTGTTGGCACATTTTCTAGAAAATTGCCAGCAAATTCAGTGACTCAACATCCCCACATTCAACATGGACTGGCAATATGCCCTGCATTCATTGAATGTTTATGTGAAGAGACATTGTGTAGCAGAAGTAGGACTTGTTACTGTTGATTATAAACTATCTTTCACAAGCTTCATGCCTTGTTGATATAATCCTTTATAGCTCCTAAACAATAATTGGGTGATTGCCTTGGCTGGCAAGGGCTATTGCTTAAATTTGAAAGAAAAACTTTTATTTTACATCTATTTTTGAGAGCCTGTGTTCTTTTGCTGAGGTGTAACCTGCATAGATAGCGATCTAGATGCTACACTGCATGGGCTGGTTAGTCATATATTTCCCAAGGCACTAGCTTGAATGACTAATTGCTTATGTTCTTAAACACTGAAGAAACCTTGCATTGAACTGTTTTCCTTTAACTTAATTTGGGGTCATGGAGCAATTCCCAAAACGTTGGTATTCAGGTACCGGTAAGTCAGTCCAATTTCTTTGTATGAATACTTTTACAACCATGCCTTGCAGATAAATGAAACAAGCCAGACAGTCAGATACTTATCATTTTTGATAAATTGCCTGATTGAAAACCTTTGCACAAATGATGACAGTTGTGTGTAATAAATGGTAACAAACTTTTGTTAATTGGTAATCACCCACACATCATGTAAGAAGAGCAAGACACCAATATATAGCAATACCGGTATTCACTTTACAAGGAACCGTGCGAAGTTTTAAACATGTGGATGGTGGCCACATTTGAAAAGATTCCTGTTTTTATCTTTTTTTATGCATTACAATCTTCCTGTTATACAAATACAAAAGGAAAATCTGAAACATTCAATTGTGACTATAAGGAATACAAAAATCTATATTTCTCTCTGTTGCATGTCGAAAATCAATATGTACAGTCTTTCAGATAACAATATTATTACAAATTTATTGTAAATATTTATAAAGCATTATTGATTATAATATATTCAAAGAATGATTCTATCTGATGCACAGTGCACAGTCTGTAGATATTTGGTGCTGTTGTATGATACACATATCTTATGTGATTCAAAATTAAAATGAGAAAATTGAACCTACGTTAACTAAAACAAATGATATGTCATGTGCTGTATAAAAGATCACTTATATAAGATTAAAATGATTATGTCATACAATAAATACATATATAACATTTGAAATGACAAACCTTCTCATGTGTGTATTATTTGATTTCTCTATATTCTCGATATATAATAATATTGTGCAACTGATTCTGTTGGAATAGGAATAGTCAAAACCTCGTACCAC